CAATTTTCTAGGTTAACTCCACAAATAAAGCTTACTGGGCCCAGGGAGAAGGACCTGTTCCTTCCTTTGACAGGATGTTGGTGGGTTGTTTGTTTGTTTTTTTTTGTTTGTTTTGAGGGGGGGGTTTAAGGCATGGCTGGAGCTGTTAAAATACCGTGCAACTTTAAGCGATCAGGAAATTTTGGCTTTTTTTATAAATGCATAATAGTTGTGGGTTATGGATGGTTCCATCCTGCCAAACAAAGACCCAGGCACCAAAATGGAGGGATAAGAAGGATGCATATTACCATAGATTAAACCCCTATTCATGTCGCAGTTTCTGTGACTTTTGACAATTGTTTATCACCTCCAAATTATACAGCTCTATTCTAATATAGATTAGAATGAAGGGGTCAAGCCTATTCAAAGCTATTTTCTGTGTAGTTCTTTGGACCATTTTGAGCATGTAATGGACAGTATCTTCAGCATGTGCCTGGGGTCATTAATAAAAGAATTTAGGGGTTGGGAGGGATTTTCCTGTTAAGAAGTAAGAGTGGAGCTTTTAAATGAAAGTGGTGTAGTAAGGGATCAAGGCAAGTCTGCAGAAGGAAACAAAGTTTCGCTATCAAAGTGTTGATGTAGAAGGAAGTCTAGCACTTCATTGGAAGAAGGGTCTGAGTATTCCAGGTTGCCTTAAAAACAGGGTGCCCACAAAGCAGGATATTTTGTGACATTTTTCCATTTCTCCTTTTATCATCTTCCACAGTGCAAGGACATGTTTTGTAAAATTTGTCCAAGATTCATTTTTATTTTTAAAAAATGAAGTCCAAAACCAATGAACCAACCTCTAATATACATCCCAGAATGGTTTATGTTTATTTTAGGCTGTTGATGCACTTAGGTGATCAAAACTTAAGGTATTCTCCAATAACCTGCAAGGATTCACCCGATTGTGGTTCATGTGGTTTAACAAGGAAAAGAACAAACCTCATATAAGTTTTTCTGTTGAAGGTGGAGGGCAGGTCAAAATGAGTATATACATTGTTTACCCTTCCTGTTATAAAATCCTACTCCCTTTCACACATTGTTCTAACTACAGTGCATGTCTGGGTGTAATGGGGGTCGCAAAAGAATGTAGCATACTGTGATTATTTTTTCTTGTGTTACAATTAAGTTTTATTACCTATTTCTCCTTAGTACAATAAACAAAGAGCAATTTTCTAAGAGGAAAAATGATACACTGGACCCTGAACTGTAAGTAATACTTGGGCAATTCATGTTAATTTTTAAAATCACTTTATTTCTCTCTTGACCCTCCCCCCCCCTTGAAAAAGCATGACATTCAGCACCAGCTGTTACTTTCTCACTCTCTTTTGAAAGCTTAACTTGACTTCATCATTTGGCCATCTAGGGTTGTCATTGAAGTAGCAAGCATTGCATTTTGTCCTAAGACCCTGAATCATTACAGGAAAGGGAATCATGAGGTTTATGGGCTACTGTAGTTGAGTCTTTTTTTTCATTCTGAGCTTGATCAGACAAATGCATGCAGATAGCTGTGCTGCTTGAAGCCCTTTGTTCTGCTGAAGTGCACAGAGAGTTCAAAATTGACTTGGATTGTTCTGCTGCATCATTTTTGCTGCTGTTGGTTCCTGTAATCATTCTGTTTTGCAGGCAGCTGTGCTTGAAAGACAGGCTATGGTAAATGTTATGGTGTTGACTGACTCTTCTTCACTGCTTGCTGGGGGAGCAGAATGGTAGCCTATCAGTAAAGCTTTCTAGGTATTGGAACCAGTGCCTGGTCAAATAAGTGCTTTTCCCCCTATACTCCCCAGTTCTTTGGATCACCATTTAGCTCCTTTCCCATGTCACCAAGTGCTCATCTCAAATTGAAGCTGCTAAAATGGTGCCTTCCATCATAATGAATGAACAAAAAGAGCCCATATCCACACTGGGATCTGTCTCTACTGCTTTGCAGTTTGCCAAGGGCTCTGAGAAGGAAAGAATAGTAACATGGTTCATAAATGTACCTCTTCCATCATTATAGAGCAATGAAACCTTAGGAAGGGACAGAGTCCTTGTCTCCCTTCCTTATTTTGTATTAGAGAAGAGACAATTGTAAAAATCATAGTGTGTGTGCACATACGCGTGTATTATTGAAATATTGGCTTAAATAATGATATTGTAATTACTGACTATGTATTCTCTCTACACGGCTTCTGAATTACAGGTTTGTTGAATGTATAGAGTGTGGGAGAAAAATGCACCAGATCTGTGTCCTTCATAATGAGATAATCTGGCCTTCTGGGTGAGTTTCCTTCTTCCTTTCCTTTCTGATGCTTGATTGCTCTTTTGGTGTTTATGTCCACCCTTTTGGAGGTATTGTATTTGAACAGATCTGAAACCATATGGCTAATAAATGTATTGAATGGAAAATTTTCAGCAGTAATTAAAATCCCCATGGATATGCAGTAATATTTCAAGTAAATTCAAATGTTTAATCACATCTTGATTATGATGTCCTGTATCTTACCTTTGCTGCTTTTCAAGATACCTCTATTTAAGAGAGCACCTTTATTCTGTATCGTACCATATTTGAGAGAGGTTATAGTTGTCTGTGGCAAGTGCTGATACCAGTTGCCAAATCTGTTGCTTTATCTTCAGCTCTTCAGACTTGTTGGGATTGTTTTCAGTTGAACTGACATATTTGGTTTCTTCTTGATCACAGTTTGTCAAATTACCTCCTAAAAGGTCAAGATTAAAAACTCTCATTTTTATCCAGGTTAAATCTATCTTAGTAGTTACAAGGAAATACAAGAAGCTTTAGTAAACTTTTGATTGTACAGATATTTTTTGCCATGTTAATAGCATTAATATAAGTAAATGATAACTAGAATTGTGACATCACGAACTTTTCTTCAGAGATTTAAAGTATTCTCTGCTTGACTTGTGCAGCTTTAGGATTTGCAGTTTGTTATCAGCATTTCTTTTGTAAAGGGTGAATGACCCTTAGCTGTGTGAGACATCCTGATGATGCCTCTTCAACATTTTCTGTATACTAGAACACAAAGCTAATACATCAGATCAGCCTGTTAGTGGTGAGAGCTAAGATACTCGATTAAACACAATAGTAGAACGTGAGGCTTCGGAGGAATAGGAAGCCTGTACAACGTGGCCAGGAGTGTAATGTTCTATTCAGTTGATTGCCTTCTTGTCGTTCATATGGCAGTATGCTGTGTGTTTTCCACTGGAAGATTTAATACTCTTCCCTTCTGCGTGTCTTTTTAGTTTTACCCCAGATTTTTGAGTTGTAGACACTTCTCAGACCTACATCTGCCTGGTGAAATATTTTATTTTTGGTGTTTCAGATATGGGATTTTTGTGTATTTTAACCTAAGTACTTAGCTTTAGCAGGCTTATATTTTTCACTCCTTTTCCTCATGTTTTCACTTCAGTTTTGTCTGTGATGGCTGCCTAAAGAAAACAGGTCGAACCAGGAAAGAGAACAAATTTTCTGCTAAAAGTAAGTTTGGGGAAGATGGAACTTCTTTCCTGTCCCTCTTTTTAAGTATTTTCTGCTTTTAGTTAAATAGGCCTGTGTGGTAAACTTGACGTGGGTAGAAGAGTGTCCTAGTATTTAAGAATGCCCACATCCACTGGCACTTCATATGTTCTTAACTTGCTGAATGTGTTTGTTCAAAGGACTATACTTAAAGACCAGTGTTAGAAAATGGCCACTGTGATTTGCTGTCTAATCTAAATTAGTAACCACCTTCCAAGTCCCTAATATAGCTAATACTTTGGATAGGTTAGCAGAGAAGACAAAGGTTAGATGGACCATAAACAGATCTCTCCTCTTGAGGTGGCTCCTTCTGTTCAGGATCCACCTGGGGTTGAAGGTTATGATTTGGAAACATCTACTGTTGACCTGTAGACAGAAGGAAGATTGTGTAAGCTTTTTAAACTTTTACCTTCCACTCAGAATTAAATTGCTTTTATTAAAGTTCAAAGTAAATAGCTGCATTTTGTTTGGCTCATTTTATAAAAGCAGCCCGTATAAAAGACTGGGTAAACCTGTAGGAGGTGTTAGTTATTGTACAGTATTGAAAGGTCCATGTTTGTTGTGAGCTCTTCTGACAAGGGGCAAAGAGGAAATCAGTTGTATAAATTGCCTGTATGCAGAGTTAGGCCTCCACATGCAGCATTTCAAATTCTCTTCAAGAGAAGACTTAATAGTGGTAGGCCTCTTCAGTAAACATACAGGGACCAGAATAAAATGCATGCTAATTTCCACTTTGGTTTGAATTGTGTTTTAAACCACAGGTATGTCTAGAGGTGAAAAGCAAATGTACTATTTCACTTGAACTAAACCCATTTAAATCTCATGTGGCATAGCACATTGAAAGCCACTCCAGTTAATACAGGTATAGAGAGATGAACTTAACTTTTTAGTCATGTATATATTGAATTTTATTTTTGTAGGGTTACCAGCTACAAGACTTGGTACCTTCTTGGAAAACAGAGTCAATGACTTCCTGAGAAGACAGAATCACCCTGAGGCAGGAGAGGTCACAGTTAGGGTGGTTCATGCCTCTGACAAAACTGTAGAAGTAAAACCAGGAATGAAAGCAAGGTACATCCCTTCAAGACTTGTTGTCTTCCTTCAGCACCGACTCAAAAGATGGGTGCTTGAGCTTCCTACCTCTGCAGATACAGAAGCTGCAAATACATGTTTTCTATTCAGATTATGATGGAATATATTTATTGTCGCCCCCCCCCGCCCCCATTTATTAAATCTGCAGGTTTGTAGACAGTGGAGAGATGGCAGAGTCCTTCCCTTATCGAACAAAAGCTCTCTTTGCCTTTGAAGAGATTGATGGTGTAGACTTGTGCTTCTTCGGCATGCATGTACAGGAGTATGGCTCAGATTGCCCTCCACCCAATCAGAGGTAAGAAGCTACGTGACACTCTAGTCAAGGGGTAGCTAAATTTTATTTTAGCCAGAAGTCTTGGTTGGGTGATCCACCTAAAGTCCTGAATTTTTAAGATTTGAATACAACTTAATTTTTGTCACTTATACTAGAATATCTCAATATAAAGCAGTTACTGTAGTGGGAATATTACAGTAAAAAGAGAGGATAGTTGAGGAGTAGAATGTATGTCTGGTGGTGGCATCTCAGCCAAAGGAAGGAGGTGAATTTGAGGGTCAGCATTTTAAAGGTAGATGATTCCAGAAAGGGATGAGGCTACAAGGCCAAACAAAAATGCAAGTTCATGAAGGCGGATGGGATCCCAGCCTCTGAAGGTAGTGACTTGAATTGGGTATTTCAAGGTTAGACTACAGTGGATGATGTGTAAATGCTGTGGAACCTCCAGCCATCTATTCTGTGTTATGCATTTTTCTCCTTTGTCTAGGCGAGTGTATATATCTTACCTCGATAGTGTTCATTTCTTCCGCCCTAAATGTTTGAGGACTGCAGTCTATCATGAAATACTAATTGGATACCTAGAATATGTCAAGAAATTAGGGTAAGTTTATGATTTTTTCTTATTGTACAACACCCAGTTGTATACCTGTACCTCATTGGGTAGGTAAAATGATGTGGTTACTATCCTGAATTACATACCCATCCAGTTTCAGTGAGGATGAAAGGAAAATATCCATGACATGGGTCTGAGGGAAGAAAGAAGATAAGTGACTGACTGCAGTAGGATTGCAGATTTCTCAACAGAGGCTCGAATGTCAGTTAGTTATATTCTGTCTAATAAAGTATATAGAATATGACTTGAACATATTTTAATCAATTTTGAATTAGAGGAAAGTAACTTGAATATCTGGACCATAAGACTTTGCTGTCTGACAGATACTCTCATTAATTCAGCCTTTGCAATATTCTGCTCTCTGTCAAGTAACGTTTTTGGGCTAGTGAGTAAAGTATTCTTATCTTTCTTCATCATTTACTTGTCTGTTAATTCTCTCTGGACTAGTCAATTTTTGTGGCAGCTTTTTTTCTTAGGTAGCATCTTTACAGAGCTGGCAGTTGAAATAATAACATCCTGCCAAAAGAAGTTAGAGGGAAACGGGAAGGAACAGAGGATATAAAATCCTGAGGTTTCACTCAGATGGAAACTAAGTCATTGAAGGACTTCTTCAGCAAGTGAGTTGCTGAAGCCAAGAGTGAGATAGGTGGCCATGTGGAGCACATGGAAGCCAGGATGTAGGATGTAAAAGGCCATGCCTCTTTGTGGTTAAGGTAGCAACAAGAGAACAGCAGCATCCTTAGGACTTGTGATCCAGGTCCTATATATCCACCCTTCCAGGTGGTGTCTGGTGCCTGTTTTGAGAGGACCAACATTCAGGCGTTTTAATAACTTCTAACTGCTTTCCTGAAAGTATGGGAGAACTCCTGGCTTAATTTTTACAGAGAGAAGGTGTGAGCCTGCTTTCAATTGGGCAGAAAAGTTTACTTGTCTCTAATTTGACTTCTGAGTGTATAGTCTTCTTTCCTGCTTTTGGAGGTTGTGTTTGTGTGTTTTGTGGTGTTTTTTTTCCAAATGACAGGTAGGAAGGAACTTGGGTAAATTGGGCTTTGTGGATTTAGGGCCATTCAGTTACTATTTTAGATGGTGTTGGGCTTTGTGCTCCTGGAATACATGCCAGCAGCATGCATCTACAGGAATAATATACACCAAGAACGAGCAGAGGAATAATCTTCCTTTAATTGACCTTGAAGGCAGGAGAGGTATCTAGTAGAATAGTGTAGTAAATGACAGGAAACAAAGTAGTTGCACAGTTATGTGCTGGTAAATGGCTTATCTGTCTTTAAATCCTTGGCTTTTAATGTTGAAATATTGTCTGAAGTCTCCACTCCTTTGCTCTGAGAATGTACAGTTCTCTTCTAATTGTAATTCAGTTCTCTTCCAATGGTGGCTGACAATTGCAAACAAATGTTAAGCTTCAGTAACTTTTACCTTGAGGTTTGCAGGTGAAGCATGTTTTCCATAGATTTATTCTGTGCAATACAGCTGTGCATCTTATTAGTGAAAAGAGGTCTCCATATTGCATGCCCATACCAACCAGGGCATAGTTCAATTGTTACTGGTGCCCACTGCTTATATGTACCAGCAGCTCTGCAGTAGATATCTGGAAGACTTGTTGTCCATCTTGTAACATCAGCCAGCTTCTGTGCTGGCTCCATCTTGTGGCTGAAGGGCCAATGTTCATCAGCACCCTGATAACCTGTCTTTTTTTTACAATGGTAGATATACTACTGGACATATCTGGGCCTGCCCACCAAGTGAAGGAGATGACTACATATTCCATTGCCATCCACCTGATCAGAAGATACCTAAGCCCAAGCGACTGCAAGAGTGGTACAAAAAAATGCTGGACAAATCAGTGTCTGAGCGTATTGTCCATGATTACAAGGTTAGTTCAATATAGAAATTAACTGGATTCTGACTTCATGACATGTCTGTCTTTGTTCTCTTCCTACTCCTTGCTCTTCAGTAAGGGGGATTTTTCTTAAATTTCTAACATATTAACCTTGTTTCTGATCTAGCTTGAGCACTAGCAGCAACATGTACATTCTATTTAAACTACACAGCTTTTGAAAACATTATAGCAAGTCTTCAGTTATATTATGCCTTCCTTTCCTCTTTTTTCAAAATAGTAAAAAAGCAAATCTGAAAGTCATGGGAGTGCTGCATAAGAACACTTTAGCTGGACTGTCAGTTTGAAAATTAGAGAATCTTTTGGGATTAAAATAAAATTATCAAGCATGTTTGGTGGGCTGATGCATTTGCAAAGACCTGAAGCCTGCAGGATTGTCCAGAACACAAATTAAGAGGCCTAGGAAGTATAGTGATGGCGCTGTTGTATCAAATGTGCAGCTTACAGCAAGTGGCAGGCTAGAATCTGTTTGAATTAAGGGATTTGTTTCTTTGTAGACTAAATATTTGAAGCATCATCCCAAATTGAGGCACTTGTACATAACCAGCACAACTTTAAATCCATCCTTGGGCTGTGCCTTAGTAGATTGAGGTGTATTGTTTAGGGTTTTTTTGGGTGCTGCACAGAGAAGCAAGTGCATTAGTTAACTTGCTTCGTGATAACCGTAACATAATATATCTGATCTGTTTTATAGGATATCTTCAAGCAGGCAACAGAAGATCGTCTAACAAGTGCAAAAGAGCTGCCTTACTTTGAAGGGGACTTCTGGCCCAATGTTCTAGAGGAGAGTATTAAGGAACTAGAACAAGAGGAGGAAGAGCGAAAGAGAGAAGAGAACACTAGTAATGAGAGCACAGATGTAAGGAAACTTTCTACGCAACTCTTGGGTTTTTTTCTGTAATCTGTTTCTTAAGTTTTCACCTAATTTCCTTCTGTGCTTGGTGTACTACTAGAGTTAACTTGTATTTGTGGCACTGATGTTTAATTTTACATTTGTAATATGATTCAGTTCTCACTTTTACTCAGTAGCTGCTATTTCCTCCCCCACCCCTTAAGTTTCCTTACTTGCAAATTGAATTCTTTCTTTCATTCTGCTTGCCTGAAACTCCATGGCTGGAGCCTCGGAAACCATTCTCGGACAGTTAATTTTTAAATTCAGATATCTGTGTAATGGCACTGGGTTTCACTGGGTTTTTTATTAATTGCTGTGTGAGTTGTACTAGAGCCTGTGGACTATCAAATTATAGTTGGGAATCCGTTCTAGTTCTCTTTCATAAGTCTTATCTAAAAGTTGAAAACTTCTGGCTAAATAGGCTATGCTTGTCAGGCTGTTGGGTTGGCCATCTAATACCTACCCAGGAGTACCCAAGAAGTCTGGAGCCTTTATTTCAAGAACTGTCTGGGTTTGGGGTTGTTGTTTTTTTAAATACTATTAAATCATAACGTTAAAACTAAGTTACTGTATCTTCTTGAATATAAGATGACCTCCCAATAATTTGATTGTGTACCTGAAAACCTATAAATGTTATAATTTTCCAGGTATAGAATCTAATTTATTGGAAATGTGCCTTGAATTTGTCCCCTTCCCACTGCTACAGCAGGGAAAATAAATTTTGGGGTCTGGTAGCCCTCTGCCTACCCACATCATCTTCCTCTGCAGCCCCTTCCTCTCCCCCCGCCCTTTATTGTCAGATACCTGCTCTCCATGAGCACAAAGAAGTGAGGAGCAACTTTGACACTGCTGACTTGAAATTAACATACCTGTAGTAATTTGCATATAGTGCCAATAGACTTAGTTAATCCAGAAGTGATGCATGTTACCTTTTTTTGAAACTGCTGCAAGTTTTAGCACAGGTACTCCATAAACTTTCTTTTAAGCAGCACTTTTGTACCTACTTATATATAGTACAAACTATACATGATATTAGTACAAAGCCAAAAGGCTTATCATTTCTCATATAGTTCATTGTGCTGGGCCCCAGCAGAGTCAACATGGTTTCAAACCATGGTGACCCCACAGCTCCACATTGCCCAGTATATCTGTATATACTCCAGATATAAACACAACCCCCCATCCCGCCAAATCCATGTGCTAATTAGCCTCCCCATGAATGACTGGAACGAGGTGTTCTTGTCATGAGTCCTGTGGTCCTCAAAATGTATATGCAAATGAGGCATAGGGCCAGCCTGGTCCAGTTGCACCTCATAGAGGGCAGGGCAGATTATATGCAACAGGCTGAGAGATGGGATAACAGGGATTCTGAATGAGCTGTTTGGGGCCCCCATTTGGTGATGTTTGCCAGACAGTTAGGGCTGATGAAGGAATGGGAATCATTGGGAATGAGAAAAAGGCAGCCTAGCTGTGGGAGTGAAGAGGAAATGTATGCAGTGTAGTGGTTCACCATCAAAAGGAGTTGGTGCTGAGGGAGACTGCTCAGTAGGCACTACTGTATAACTTATACAGATGGGCTGCGCTAACCTATACTAGTGGTAGGTTCCCATCAGCCTGTTTGCCCAGTATGGGCCATTTGTTTTATAGTCATCCTCAGTGTTAGCTGCATTTAATCAGCTTCATAGTTGGTTTTTATTGCATGCTGCTTTGGGCAGCAGTTTAATGAGGCCTCCCTGTATGCAAATGTAAGACTAGGGGTTTTAGGCCCCTCCCCCTGCTGAAGTAGAGGGATGGACAATCTTGTCTTATATTTGTGTAAATATGGTATTTAGAGTGCTAACTAAATAAGGAGTAGAACAAATAATGAGTTAAGATCAAGTTGAAATCAACATATTTGCATCCGTATCAATTTGGAATTCAAATATTCTGTTGTTTGGGTCATTTGACTGACAAAACAAATAGCCCTTACACCTTAAGAGAGAATCTAAGGAGGTGTCTGTCTGCTTGTAAGCCTTAACAAAACAGCTTTACTAAGGTGAGTTAGTCAGAACTTGAAGCTGGTTAAACATTTTGATACTGAAATTGAATCGTCTGTTGCTTTGAACCACAACCTCAAATTGTATAAAAGCTGCTTCTTCAGATTTCAGTTCCCAGGAGGTGGCTCACTATTTTTCTTCTCAAACATCAAAAAGATGACAATACAGACCTTAACAGAATGCTGATAAGCAGCACTTTGCAAGCTCTGGTTTAGCATAATGTATAGATACTGACTTTTAAAGGTGTTTGAGGCTCTAAGTAGAGAACACACTTTAATCAGGATTTTTGAGAATGTTTAGGGCTATTTGAACTTGGGGAAAATGTATTACTTTTTCTGCATGTAAAATTTTTTTCTCATGGTCATGTGTACAAATGCACTTTCACACCCTAGAATTAAACAATAAAAAGGTTGGAATGTCTTGTAGCATGAAAGAAAAGCAACAAAAAAGTGAAGATACTTATGATGGGAAGATACTTATTCATGAATGCATCAGCTCTGTCTTCTGTGCTCTTTTGAAACGGGAGTGGGAACTGCATTCAGGGAGCCATGATGCTGATCTAGCACTACTTACTAGAAAGCTTATGTAGGTGCTGGAGAGAAACTGGGTGTAAAGGCTGATACAGCTTTTCCCTTGAGGTCATGACGACTTCCTCACCTAGAAGTAATCAGTCTTTGTTCTAAAACTTGCTTTCCATTCAATGATTCATTGACTGTTAGAAAACCATGCTTTTCATCATTACCCATCCATACTTCGTATGATTTTCAGTTTTTACTTAGTCTTGCTTTCAACGCCTTTAGACAAATTGGATGTGAGGTCATGCAGCTCTGTCTGCATTTAAATTTTCTTTTGGCAGCCATATATCAAATATGGCAGCATATTTGAGAAGCCCCATGTAAACCAGCAATTCTAAACAAAGTTGTTCTTTGCATGCCTGACACGCCCAAAGATATTAAATACACAAGAGAATACTTTTGAGGATGTTGATCTGGCCTCTTCTAAGGGAAAAGATGTACAGGAAGCTTGATACAGAATCCTGTTAAAAACAACTGTTTGAAAAGGCCTCAGCATTTAGCACAGTTAAAAACAGATTTAAAAATCTTAACCAAAGTCACCATCCTTCATGGCTCCTTGCAACCTAAGAAATACTGTTACTAATTTTCATGAACTTCACCGGTAATAACTACCCTATCTTTTTTGAATAGTTGCTCTGCCAGTAACTAGATTGCTGCTTCTGCTACACTACTTTTGTCCCATAACAGCTTTTTAAACACCTTTTTAACCCTTAGTCCACTGCCCTCCTCTGTTCTTCCAAGCAGACTGATTGTATTTCCTCTGATATTTAGCTCAGACTGTCTGCCCCCCTCTTTTTTTTTTTCTTTAGACTTGAGGAAAGGTACTTGATGCCCAAAAGCTCGTCCAACAGCTCTTCCAACTGTACAGTTGGTCCAATAAAAGATATAACAGAAAATCCTTGCCCCTCATATGTTACCTGGACTGTTGCAGTAACAACTCTCCAACCCTACTAAATAATCTTTATCATCCAGGAACCATGTGTTAGAACAAACAGCTTCTTTTGTTGGAAAATTTGCTCTTGACAGAAAAGCTTATTTAGAGCTCATCAGTATAATAAAAGTGTTCACATAAAGTCTGTTCCTATATGTGAGCTCTCAAAAAACCACAAAAGGCATCTACACCATGAACCCCCAGGAACCATTGTTCTCATTAGTGAGCTATGGTCAGACTAGTGTAGAAATGGGAGGAAAAACCTGTTTTTAGTTGACATTGAATGTCACTTCTCTGTCCCACTTCCAGCCAATATCAAAGTGGGAGTGGAAACCAATCTCTGAAATGAAAAGTTCTACTAACATTTCCTGGACATAAAGGTCCCATCTTCTTAAGCTCCTATTTGACACTGTCTAAAGAAATTAACAAAAAAAGTGGGGGGTAAGGGCTGTGACATGAAGAGAGTAACAAGGATAGGAAAAACCTACCAAGTCATCTCATCTGTCTCCTTTATCTTCAAACTTCTGGATAATGCAGGATCATTTGTGCTCTTTAGTGACTTATCAGTTTTAAATAGCTCAGCAGTGGTCCATCTGCCATGCCCTTTCAGGATTCTTCCAGTTGAATAAGAGTTCATTGGAGAATGTTTTGATCAGTATCTTTTTTTGGATCTTCAGTCAAACCCACGTATCATCTACTGAGCATTTACACTCCTTGGTGCTTTTACATGGTTTTGTTGCTAGTGAGTAATTCAATTATATTTTCTGTTCTAAAGGAGTTGGTAAGTTTTCCTTTTTTTAAAAGCAAGTTATTGTGAAATGTTGCTATATATGGTGCTGGAATGACAAAGTATCAAAACAATAAAATGTTATGCTGATTTACTGTCTTTTTAAATAGTCAGGGACCTCATGTACCTTTTAATTTGAAGATCAGCTATAGCGTACACTAAGTGTCTGTTGTGGATGAATTAAGTGCTGTCCTTTAGGCTGTAGCAGTAGCATTGCTGGGCACTTTCTTCAGTATCCATTGAATTTCCTAGCCTGCTTGCTGCAAGCTAGGAAATCATTTTTCAAGTGATTGCTGGGTATTGAAGATGGAGTTAGAAAAGAGGA